AAATTGACAATTTTATCTTCTTCTTTCAGATCTAACACCATTATTCGCTCTGAGATAAATTTCCATCCCTTGATGTTACTAACTTGATTCCAGGCCTCAATACAGCCAACACCTCCCTTGGCTCTCTCCGTCATAGGGACACCACTGTAGAGCAGCATACTTCCATCGTGATCTGTGATTCCTTTGCCCCTTTTTCTTGGTTTCAGTCAGAGCCAAGACTCCTAATTTTGCTTTCCTCTCATCTCCCCTACTAACTCGTTTTCCTTTCCGTTAATGCCTCTTATATTCCATGTTCCATAAATCGTAGTCCGTAAGCCATGCCAGTTCGTCGCCGTTAAGATCCGTCCGGTTTTCTCTCTGTAGTTACTTGTAATCGTGGTTTAAGGCAAACAGGTGATTGGCCTGTTGTGCCTTTGCATGGTGGAGGGGCTGCCTCCTTGCGGCCTCCATGCAGGCCGTCTGGCTGATTCACGGTTACCCACTACTTCCGGAGACGCATGAAGCACTCAGGTTCAGCCAGACCCTCCTCCTTTTACAGCCGGGCTTGGGACCGGTCTTAGCGGAGTTGGTAGTATTTCATGGAAACAAAAAGTCCAGTACAGCGGTTCTGGAAAGGCTACAAATGAAAAGAGAATTACTGAAAGAAATAAAAAAGAGACAATTGAAATACTTGGCCATATTAAAAGACATAACAGGCTTTTAAAAAACCATACTTGAGGCAAAGGTCAAAGGTAAGAGAGCAAGAGGTAGGCAACAATACAAGTGTGAGAACAACATCAAAAGATGGACGGGCAGCAGTCTGAGAGAGTGTACAACCAGGACAGGAGACAAAGCGTGTTGGAAATTCATTGCAACCAAGCGTAACTGTGGAGACGGCACCTGATTGACCTGGCTGGCTAGATCGAATGTCATGGACTATAAGAAGAATAGTTATTGGTTCTTCTCAGATGTTTAACATTTAAAATTAGTTTCTAAACATTGTTTGTCTTCATTTGTAGTCTGCTTATTCCAAACACAGGATTGAGGGGAAAGTTAAGGCAGTTGTGATTATATAAGATAATACTCCCTCCCTCACCCCCCAAGCACCAGTCGACTCTGGGCTGGTTTTAATGGAACCTCATGTCAGAGTCCTGCCATGCCTCCTGATCTGGCACCACAGATGTCTCTTATGAGCATTAACAGAGCTGGCAGAGGATCTTCTCAGAGTTGGTGGCCGTCATAAATGCTGTGCCCAGAAATCCACGGCCCTTTATTAGCCCACCCACAACGCATGGGCGTTAACGCATATTGGAAGTCATTTGGAACACAAGTGAATTAATCCTGCAGTTATTTTTCATGTAATACTTAATCCTTTTAGTTTAGCTTTTATCCAACATTAATAGAAACCAAAGTGTATGTTCATAAAGTGTGTAGTGGAATATAATTATCTTTATTTTATCCATATTTCTACAGCTGAATCAAAGGGTGTCTGGTCTCGTAGAAGTGCACGGAACAGTCACATCCAAGAACTCACTGCGCTGTGATCATCTTGTTACTTTCTCAGAAGAAGAATCTCAACAGTTTGGTAGGTTTAAAGAAATATGTCCATGTCACTTGTTGAAATTATTTTGTCACTCCTTAGGTACAGGATCTATAAAAATTAAGGTGGAACTTTATATTTGAACCAAAATAATACTACGCTGGTTTTTTCTAGAAATAAAGGTGCCAATACTAACTACAAAGTGTCTTTATCACATCAGTGCTGAAAAAAAATGTGATGCCTAGAAAAAGTTGCGAGTTCTGCATACTTTCAGAGAGAAAAACTTTTTAGTGCAGTATAGGACAGAAGGTTAAGAGCCTCCTGTTTTAGGGTGGAATAAGTGGTGCAGATGTTCTAGACTGGACGTTAATATCTATTTTTTTGCCATCCTATGGAAGATGTGATGTCTCTTAGCAATAAAGAACAGAATAAAACAAAGAAAATCGTTATTTTATAAATAAAATGGTGCAACAATTTTTATGTGGCATTTCAGTACTCTTTTTGACATTCAATGAATGTCATCTTCTAAAATTCAGCATTTACTTGTCTGTTCTGCTCTTAATCAAATATGTCATCCTTCTTCCATGGAATAATAATTGTGCGCATATACATATGAATCTGTTGATCTGATGTGGGTGAAAATTTTGTTTTTAATTATAATATTTTGGTGATAAAAATAGCTTGATAGAACAGACTGTTCTAAGATTGTTTTAAAACATACAGTGACCAGAAAATGTTATTGCTGACATCAAATGAAATGATCACTGTAAAAATATTTTCTGTTTCAGATGTGGCCTTATATCAGAAGGCTATAGAATACACACACAGATGCTCCAGTCTTTACATACAAGGAGGGATTATGGAGGATTGATTTGTTTGTTTGGACTGGATGTCATTTTTTTTTTTTAAATCAGCATTTGACGAAATAGTAAAGGATTTGAAAATGACAACATTTAAAATGTGTTCAAGTCTTGACTTTTTGTGTCAAAATATCTGTTGAACAGTATTGTTTTGTAGTGTGTGGGGTGAACGTTTGGGCAATTGTTTGGCTGAAAAGTATGTGTATACGAGGTAAAGGACCCTTTTCATGTCGATGGGTCATTGGATATCTGATGCTAGACCAATATTTGTACAGATCAATCTACCCTCAGTGGGTGATGTGGCCATCATTATTTCCCAGGACACTTCCATTTTAGGCTGGGTTGACCTGGGAGTCATAGTCATTTTAGTTTTTTTTTATTCTTCCCCCAAGAGAATTTCAACCAGGTAAGAACCAAGACACTGGTATGTATCACAGCTCCCGAGAAGAGGTGATGCAAATGTTAGTTTTTTTGCCCCTTCAAACAGAAAATGTATTCATGTTGTCTAGTGTGTTCTATCTTTCTACTTCTTTCTATGAGTGCCGATCAATACACTTTCTGTTACTTGATTAATTAATAAAATTTAACGGCCTCAGAGGTTCCCCCTCTGTTATTTACAAAAAAGTCAAGAAGATTGGTTTTAATAATCCAGATGGCAAGCAGCATTTAGAATTTGAGGCGCAACTCCAGCATTCAGAGTTTTTTAAAACAGGCGTCGTTTATGTAGGTAGTTGTACCCCACCAGGACTTCACACAAGCGATAAACACCCGGTGACACAAAGTGCCACCATGCGGATGATGATTCCCGTGGAGAGGTCACAGAAACCTCTTTCAGTCATGAGGCCATGTATTCATGACCCGGCTATATTCAGGGCCCCCAGCAAAAGCCAGGGTGGGGCTTCAAATAACAAAAAATTGCATCCCACATGTGGACGACTATAAGCGTTTATGTGGCACCAAGAGGACGTGAGCCATGGCCCATGTCGCAATCAATAAACAATAACAACCTAGCATTTGAAATTACAATTTCTTATAATGCCACGAATGAAAGGGGGGAAAGTGATATTCTACTTATCAGCTGTGACCATCGGGGGAGGGGGGGGGGGACTTGATCTTAAACAGCATCATGTTAGAGAAACTGAAAAAGCTTTAGTCTCATTAAATGCTGTCATGGTTTAGAAAGACCAGTGACGGAAATCCTAGTTGTTGGACAAGAGCTAGGACGCAACAAGCACGTTAGAGGCTCAATTGGGATAAACATGCGCGAGACAAGGGGGATAACCGACGTTAAGGTTGAAGGCGTATCGGGCGTGCACAAATGATCTGCACATTCTCTTGAATCGCTTTGCAAATGCATGTGAAGAATTTGGACTCACAACCAATCTCAGCAAAACTTAAGTGACGTGGATGAATGTGGTAAACCCACAAAATTTTGGCTTTTACAACCATGAGCTGTTGGTTGTATATGAGTCTGAATACATAGGCCCTCGAATCGGAGACGAATAGGAAAGGCCTTTGCAATGTGTTCCAAACGCACAACAGTTTGGTCAAACAAAAAGCTTACGGATAGGACTTGCGTCTCGAGCACGCTCCTTCAGGGAAGTGAAACCTTGACTATATGCACCTCAAGAAAAAAAATATTCGGAATAAGTAACGAACTCAGGCCCAGCTACATACTAGGTGATCTTTCGTTGATGCTTGGTCAGGCTGGTCTACGTTAGAGGGGTGTAGAATGCACTCTCTCGTGTGACCTAGGTGAAGCGTAGGGGTTGGGGCCAGTTGTACATGTTATAGGAACATTAAAACCGCTCACATCTTGTAATATAGAGCACGCGTGGTAAGACCGACGAGAAGATACAATGTCGCACCTACTTAACATTCCTCCGCTTAAAACTTACCGGGTCTCAAAGGTTAACACGCACGAATGAACGTCCAATTACAGTGTCCTGGTCCGAATTCGTACCTCATAAGTGAGTATCTGGGCGTGAACTCGTTACTTGTTCCAAAGACTGAATACTGTCCACATGCGCTGTATGAAACGCATTCTTTTTATATTATGGCCAGACTTTGTTCCCAGTAAATGTGAACTGGAAAGAGCAGGAATGCCAGCACTGTACCTTCTACCGTTGGTTGGGACATGTCTCTCGCAGGGGGGATGGTCGCATTCCAAAGGATCTCCCGTATGGTGAACTGGTAACAGGTATAAGACCTGCAGAAAGACTAAAACTACCCTGTAAGAACACATGCAAACGCGACGTGAAAAGTATCAACATTGACAAGGAAACTTTCTAGAAATCAGCTGCCGACTGACTTCTTTGAAAGCAGACAAGTAAAAGACGGGTTCTTTTGTGTACAAAAACGGACTGAAGCAATTTTAAAGAGGTCAAACGCAGCAAGCTATAAAGAGGAGACGTCTAATGGAAACCATCTTCATAACAATTGAGTCAACATCGCACCGGCCGCCTTTACTTTACATGATTTACCTGTTACCCATTTAAGACTGGGTTGACCAAGGTCATTTTGAAAAAAAAGAAGTCCAGCTCCGTTCGGATCTAAACACAACGTTCAAATCTGCAAGTGAGCGTCTAGCCGCTACACAATGGCGATTCTCAGTTACCCAGGGGCCTTTATTATTTTACGTTCCCGTTTATGGGACCAACGTTCAGCAAAGGACCTGCTACATAATGAACAGGAATACAGCAGTAACCAATAAAGACTTACTCCATAGGTGCATGAAATTGAATCAGTGGGCGATTGCAGATGTGTCTTTACATCTAGATCTATTTCGTCGTCGTCGACAGCAAACACATTTATAAAGACATCATTTGCTGTACAATGCAGGGCATTTAAGGCGATATCGAAATGGCCGATTTCTGTTGTGAAGAATGTGTTGCTATCCCCAGAAATTTTTCTTGCTTGCACTCTTATCTGGATAAGATGAATTTCTGATAAAAATTACTATTTCTAATGTCTCCGGTGAGTTCTTCTTACTAGATTATTCAATCAGAATCCTCCCCAGTGTGAAAATTGACTGCAATGGATGTCCAACACAGTCACTCACCCTGAGTGTATACTTTCTCAGACCGCTGTTGGTCCATCTGTGAATGCTATTAGCATCTCCTCACATGTATCGCCTACAATTCACTTGCCCTCAACATTCCCCCCAAGCTAAAGTTTTATGAGCGTAGTTAACATGTCTAAAAAAAAAAAAAAAATCTGCCCAACAACCTTCTTCCTTCCTAGTTCCACCCGCCCTAGAAGCCCCCGATACTTCTGAAATTTCTTATTTGTTGTTCTCACGTATGACATGCTTTATTTTACCGTTTATATGAGCGTTTTACGAAACAAGAATTATTTGGAAGCTTCGGAGCGCTGTAGTTTTATAGACGAATGATGATAATATCATGGACAGATATAAAGGGTAATGAAGACGTCTTGAAAGAAACTGACTCACGAAGATAACTGATTACCCACATCAGAAAGAAACATTCTACATTCTTTGGTCATGTGATGAGAAGAAGAAAACTGAAGCACATCGTGACAATAGGAAACTTGGAGGGGAGGAGAGGCAGAGGGAGACCGAGAGAAAATATGCTGGACAGTTTGACATCATGACATGGAGGATCAACTGTGTCAGAGTTCATAGAAAGTACACGAGACAGGAGGTTGTGGATAGACATGACTACCAGGTCACGCGGTATGGACTTTAAGAGGAATACAATATGTTCCCCCCAAAATGTCCAGTAAAAAATTGGAGGTCTTTTATACACATAATGTGTATGTGCACATTGGGTATGATTCAGTCGAGGACTTCGGCTTGAAATTAACAAATTTCCTAGAACCATACTATGGATGAATGAGAACAATTGAAAATTTGATGCACCCAGTGGATTTTCATAAAAAGATCTGGAGTAGGGGCAATGTTTGGGTCTGGGGTCTGGAGTGTGTCGGGGCGGGATAAGTGAAGTACTTATTCAGGATCCTTCCCTAATAATACTTTATATGGCACTTGATGATAGTAATACTATTTCGAACTGAAAAAATCTGAACAATATAGTAAATCAACACCACCACAAGAACTGATGTAGACACAATGAAATCATTCTTCTTACTGAAGTACATCAATTAATTCTCAACGCAACTAAGAGACAATCTATACACAGCAGACTATATACCATACTGTGTGTAAAACAATCACTAAATTTCAAACTTCCTAAACAATCGAAACCTTAATGACAAAATTAAGGTGAACATCCCCTTTCTGTTAGCCAAATTTAACAGTAAAGAACATACTAATTAAAGACAGAGGTAAGGCATTACAAGTATATTCGACACCAGCCGAAGCTGTAGTACTATAGGTCTGACTACGGGGGGAAGCACTATCTTCCAAATATAGGCTACCGGTCAGTAGGGGGAAAGCCCAAGGAAATTCCAATACTAGTACTTGAAAGATGAGAGTCTATGGGCAGGTAAGCCTGAAGTAGTTGTCTTTCTTTTGTGTACACTATGGCTGATTGTTGTGGCACCAGTTTCCGATAGCTCTTCAAATAGCAATTATTTAGTACCAAAACGTGTTTTTTACATTGCAGTTAAAAATATTTTGCAGTATAAGAAGCATTTTCCACCATGGATGTTATATTAAATCGGCATATGTCGCAATATCCAAATCGTTTACAAACTTTCTTCCCCCCACCCCCGCCGAATGTGGAATTTTCAATTTCCAACTCTCCGATGAAGTTGGCCGAGGCGGGATTTATCCGTAAAATGAATGCTGTTTCAGATGAAGTTGAATGCTGTTTTTGTGGAGCAAAATACAGCAATTGGTCAGGCGAATCGCCGTTAGCTGTACATCGTACCCTTAATCCGAAGTGCAGTTTTCTTAACACACCACCGTCTACTAACACACATAATCTAGATAACCACAACAATGAAGAAGTGGAGGCGTTCAGGAAACAGCTATGCCCAGATAACATTTCATCGTCACCGTCAAGCATTTTCAATGTTCCAGACATTCAGCATCCATTTCTTCCAAAGCAAGGAGGTTATTTAATGTTGTTTGAGGGCCAGCGAAGATTAACTTTTATTCATGCAGACATATTTTCACCCGCTGCTGTAGTGTATGCAGAGGGGGGTTTTGTGTACAATGTAGCAACAAAAAGTGTTTTCTGTGTCTTCTGTAACGTCGAATTGGACTTCAAACAAAGAAGCAGGCCAGTTTTAGACAGTGTTCATGAAGATAAATCTCCACAGTGTCCTTTTATGTGTTTGTTTGACGTGGGAAATATTTCTTTAGACACCGAAACACAAATTCATGAAAAGGTGTTTTTGCAGCGGCAACACAAAGCGCAGACTGACAGAGTGAAATATGCAATAAAACATCCACAGTTTGAGGATGAGGACGTTCGAGTGGGTACATATTCAACCTGGCCTAAATGTTTAGCCAGAACTTTCCCTAGCAGAATGATGGCTGAGTGTGGCTTCTACTACACAGGTAGCATAGATGATTTGTTTTGGGATCACTTATTTGAATTATTTCTAAATAGTCTTACTGCATCAGTGTCTTAGGGGTTTATTTACACAGCTTCTTTATTTAAAACATCCTGAGTTTGATTCATTTGCAGGTTATTCAGCGGCAGGCTGATTTGTGTTGATTGTGACAGTATCATGAGCATTAAATGCTGAGAAAGCAGTGGCAAACTCATAATCATCATGTAACACAGAGCTAGCAAACCGATAGCCCACATGCATAATTTGGCCTGTAGAGGCATAGCAAGTAGCCCACAGATCATCGCCAATTGTATTAGAAGAACTTTTTTGTTGAGGCTCCTTTTAAACATTTTGGTCCCTGAGTAAACTTTGCTGAATAGTTCTGATGTAGCAGATCCTTTGAATGAAACTCGGTCTCTTACCAGCTCTCCCGCCACATGCACTTTCCTACCCAAGATGTCATTTAAATCCTGAGCCCATCTTCATGCTGGTCACCCTGGTCTTTTTTTTATGGCACCATGCTTTCTACCACTGTTCTTTCCAATCTGTAGTAGCGCTTAATTTGGCCCAACTTTCATTTTCTGAGACGAATATGCTGTTTACTGGTGAATCTTCCTTGATGTTTAGATCTTTTAGGATGTCATTATTTCTTTTCTTTTTGGTCCATGGTGTTTCTAGAATCTTTCTCTAGAGTGGCAAACTACTGAATGTAAAATTGCCTAGTAAAATCACAACAGCTAACAAATGCTGGGGTTTGCAACTGGATTTATCTTTAATTAGCAGGTCATATAATCTGGCAAGCTCACCCAGTGGTCACATATTCAATATCCCTTAAGCCACATTTTTTTTTCCACTGACCTAGACTCATAGGTGAAATCCAGCCTAAAATAAGTACCAGGAAGTTTCTTGGGAACTAAAAATGGCTAGCATGATATTGACAACATCACCCAGCGAGTAACAGTTGGTCCTAAAATATGTCACTAGCACCATGTAGCCACTATATCTTATTGTAGCAGAAGGGTCCTTTACCTGCTTTATTGACTTTTAATATTGAAACTTCGGGCAGCTGTGGTACCCTAGCAGCTAGACGCCCACCTGTCCCTGTAGGTATTTGGAGTCCGTATCAGCTTTTTCTTCAGGGTTAATCTTGGGTCCCAGGTCAACCCCCCCAGCCTTAATGGGTACCAGGTTATGTCCTTTGAAAAAAACACTGCCATCAGGACCTACAGAATGCCGACTTGTCTTCAAATATATGATTCTAGCAACTTTTGCTCAGTGCTCCAAGATGTCAAAAGAGTCCTTTACATTTGACCTAATATTTCTACTTCAGTAACAGCAAAATTGCTATGTAGGCTGCATTTAATTAAGCAGTAGATAATGAGTGGTTTATACCAAAGTGTAATTTTAAATTAACTTCCATTTATAGTACTGTTAAAATAGTCTTGAAATGATTATTTTGGGGAGTACTGATTGTTCTTTACATATACTTAATGTAGTTGAGTCGGCTCTGTGGCTAAGTCGATGTGAACGCTTCGTAATGCCGGGATGCCAGGTTCGATCCCATCTGCAAGCCATAGGCCTTGCATTGGTTTCGACAGTGGTATCAAGAAAGCCGACCGTCCAGAAAGCAACGGCAAACTACTGGACGTAAATTTACCTAGAAAAACCACACAATAGCCAGGGGCTGTTGGGGTTGGTTCTGCAACGTCCTGTAAAGGCTACGCAACTAACCTTAATGTAGTTGAATAGATAGGAAATTATTAATACCAAAAAAAAAGAGTTATCATAGCACTGTGAAATCTGTGAAAGTCAGAGGAAATTAAAATTACTACCAGTGTTAAGATATTTAGCTCTAATGTTAAATCAGCATTATTAAATGGAGCTGAAACATGGAGAACAACTAAATTAATAGTTAGCAAATTACGAAGATTCATTAAGTGGTTTCTTTGTAAAACAGAGGTAATTAAATAGTATACAAGAATCATTAATGCAAAGTCTTGGGGGATAAAGGTCAGAGAACGTATAGCTGAATAGTTGTGCCCTTATCATGCCATTTAAGTCATATAATTAATGTTTAATCTCTCAACTGGGTTCATTTGCCCCCATTTGGTGGGGGCGGGGGCAAAAGTATAGACCCACTGCTAGCCTAACAGTTATGTCATAAAAGGTGACTAATGAGGGGTGGTTACTTTGAAGCATCTGCAAGTGTTCATATATAAGATCTTTATGTGGCATATTAAAAAAGCTTATGACCAACAATGAACAGGCACAGTCAGTCTGTTCAGTTGATCTACTGTAGAGGATTTTGATGCACCAAAAGAAATGTCTGAACTGAACTGAGGACTTTTAGCTGAATGAAATAGCATCGATAGATAGCATGCAAATATTCAGACTGAAGTTCTTGGTGTGGAATGGAAAAGCAACATTTCAAAAAGGCTCATAAGTTAACATTGGACAGGCACCGGTAATCACTGATCAGTTGATTTACTACAGATATTGATGCAGCAACCATAATGCCTGAACTGAACTGAGGGCCTTCAGCCAAATCAATCAGCCTCAGCAGTTAGCATGCAGATGTTCAGATTGAAGATCTTAGTATGACATGAAAAAGCAGCATATCAAGAGGGTGAGGAAGCTCATGAGTTAACAACAGTGCACAGTTATCACTAAATGTTGAATTAAGAATCTACATAATAGCACTCAGAACACTCCCATGAGCGCTCCGTCTTCATCTTCAGCAGCAAATGAAGAGTTCCAATTCCAATGGCACCAGTAACTTTCTGATTGTGTATATATATATATATATATATATATATAGTTTATGGCCCATAGTGGATTAAGTGTATGACCTGAGTTCGCAGAATAAGTACACTGTGCAACCATTATACTTTCAAAATGAACTAGGTAAAGAAAAATCCTTATTAGTGAACACATGCATGAAATGATTATTCGTGTCAGTGTTCTATTTTATAGAAGGTTAATACCATTCTTGTTAACATATGCTTGAAGAAGTCAGACATGTTGGCTGAAAGGTTCAAATATCACAATTTCTTTAAACCGGCACAATACATTTACACCCAAATAAAACAAAACTAAAACAATGTCAGATGAATAAAGAAAAAGAAGTTGAAGAAGCATGTAATAGAATTTGTCTTAGATATTGATTTCTTCAGGTTTCAGCGACAAGGTCAAGTGTTATGCATGTGGTATCGGTCTCGCTGACTGGTCAACAGATGCAGATCCAGCCACGCAGCATGCCAAATCATCACCACATTGTGTGTTCTTGCTGCATGCTAAAGGCAAGGAGTTCATTGAGAGGGCACAAAATGAGCAGGTAAGATCACATTTGTATCTGCTGCTGATTTAGCGTATTGTTCTGACTTGCTGAACTCTGGTGTGTGGGGCTGAAGTTACACATATATTGCAGCCTGGCTGTAAACCACACAATAGGGTACCAGCCGTCTTTTTTAACCCTTCAGTACCAGAAGAAAGTGTCATTGGAGATGCTGATGAAGGAATATATGTGATTAAAATATATCATTGGATTAGAGTCAAAGTTGCAATAAAACAGTAGAATTGACCATAGGACAAGCCATATTTCCTGAGTGTGTTATGGCCAAATAAAAAAAATAAGAGAGCATTTTTGGCTAAGAAGGAATTCAGCTGATAGGGTGATTCACACATCATGCATGCATTGTTTGGGACTCAGAGAGTTATGGATGGACGAAGCAGACAAAAAGAAGAACAGTAAATGGAGAAGCTGAAAATTGTACACATATTGTGAAAAAGTGTTGAAGAGAACCATACTCCAAATCTTTATCACTATCTCCATAGGACTAAAGATTATACTAGGCTAGTGTGGCTGTTGTGTGTGCTCCAATTATAACTTCTTTGGAAATTGAACAGGGTATCTGGAATTTGCCCTGTTGACTGGCCATCCACATTGAGATTCTGACATCTCAGGATGGTCAAATCTTCAGGTAATAGCCCAGAGGGAAAAACAAAAGGAAGGAAATCAGAACACCATGTATTTATTACTTTTCTATGAACACTGATACTTCGAATCCTGCGAGCAATTGAACAGTGTGGAGGCACAAATAGATCATTACGGCCTGAGGAGAATGGCGCTGCAAGGAGTTACCAGGGGTCTGGCCAACGCTCAACACTCGAGGAAAAGGCGAGACAGATACACGATCAGACAGTTACTATTGGCATGGGAATTGAAACTCTTCGCTTGCTGCTGAAGATGGAGACGTAACGCTGATGGGAGTGTCCTGAGTGCTTCAACATTCAACTTGAATCTCAACATATCTCGTAATCTTTGCTTCAGATGGCCCAAAAAAAAGGATCAGCACCAGATGTATCTAGATAAAACTTGACTTACAAACTGCATAGTTTTTTAATTTTGAGTTTTGTTTTAATTTCTTACCTACTACCAGGTGGGGGCTGAGTGGTCTCGAGGTATGGCATCCGCCTTGAGTGCTAGAGGTACCGGGTTCAAACGCCGGTGAAGGCTGGTATTTTTCCACATGGACTTCTGCTAGTAATTTCCACTGCTGTCATAATGTTCTAGTTTTTCACTATGAATTTAACATTTTTTGGGTAAGATATGTATACCTAGTAGTAGGTTTGGTTTGCAATAGACCAAACCCAACCTGCTACTTTAACTAGGTATACATATCTTACAAACATTTTTTAATTCGTAGAGATAAACTAGAACGTATGACAGCTGGAGAGATTTAAATAAAGAGGGACAGATAGAGATAGTAAGGAGCTTCTTAACACCTTTGTGATGTCTTGGAAAGGGATCTGCACACGAATGATACGTTCAGTTGAAGATATCAGGGTGTGGAGGTGCCTGGGCTTGTAAGGGTGTTCTCAGGTGCTTGGCACAGAAGTGAGCAGTGTAAAGATTGGCTAGCTTCTCTTCGGAGAGGTGAAACATGAAATTTAAGTAGCCTGTCAACGACCCTTAGAGCACTGAGGCCAACCCCACCTCCTCGTGGTTTATGCTGGAAACTGAACCAGTGAGGTTTTCAGGCTAAAGGGGCAATGGCTCGCCTGGAATAAGACGGGTGCCCACCACGTCAGATTTTTTTTTCTGCCCCGCCACGCGATGGGTCTTCCAAGCCATCAGTGGTGTAATTAATTGCTACCACACAAGAAATATTGAATACATACAGGAGACTTCTGTGGACATAGGGCCGGCAACATTAAAGGAGAATGAAGTGGTTTGGCCATTAGTGAGAATGCAGCTAGACCAAACTGCATATGAGACTTTTTACAGCAGAACATCTGGGAGGAAGGCGAGAGGAAGACAAGGAAAGAGATGGATAAATGATATAGCAGAAACCTGCAAAAAGATTAACAAATCCATCGCCAAGGCCACCTGGAAAGCGCAAAACAAATACAGAATGAAACTGGGCTACAACCTGGTATCAGTGAGATGACAAAAGAAAAAGAAGAAGAAGGATGTGTCTGATTGTCCATGTCAGTCAGCTTGATGATGATGATGACACTGACGAGAACTTTTTTTGGGGACGTATTGTATAAGTATACAAATTTCCATCCAGAAAACTTTAAATTTTATTTATTTCTGCTTGATAAATTCTTACTTTACAAGTAATGTCTTATAAGTAATTTTGTCATATTTTGTAAATAAGTGTACGCAAGAGACATATCATGTATTAACTTGGAGTATGTGTCTTAAACATTTGGTTGGGTGACACTTTGAAAGCTTTTACTACTATACATCTTTGTATTCTCATTTCAGTTAACTGTTGAAGCGGATGAAGAAACAACCATCCCACAGTTACCAGGTGAGCTGATTGATTTATTGAATGATTGATAGGTTGTTGCAAAGGTAAAACAGAAAAATGGTAACCTTTTCACCCCGGAAACAAGGTTGCTGGCGTGATGCTGACCACATCACCCACTAAGTGCTGATTGGGCTACGAAAATATAGGTCTAACCCTATTTTCCTAAAACGCCTAAAGGCGTGGAAAAAGAACCTTTACTTTACATACAGGTCACTAAAAGATTAAAAATTTTTTTTTTAAAAACATTTTTAAATTGTTCTTTCAAAATATGTAAAGAAAACAAAAGAGTAGTCAGTAAACACTTACAGGATGAAGCATTGAAAGGAATACCTCCTCCTGGGCCTAAAATAACCTCGGCCAGTAGCATTAAATATGCGTCTCGTAAACACGTCATTATGGAAGAGAGACAATTATGGGCTGTTTGACCCAATTAGAAGGGTTGGTTTCTTGCTTTCTCTGGGTGAAAGAGTTAAACCATGATGAAAACTGGTTCATAACTTTGTTTACATGAAACACTGCCATCTGGTTTTCAGATAGTTTTTTTAAAAATGCATAAAAGCCCCAGTTATACCTACTTTGGAGGTTGCATGAGGTATCTGGGATTCGCCTTGGAAGATTCCTTCCGATGCTTGAAACTAAGGGGAAAAGCGAGATGGTTATACAATCAGACAGTTACTGGTACCATAAGAATCAGAACTCTTCACTTGCTGGTGAAGATGGGGACGGATTGCTTATGGAGGTGTCCTGAGTGCTGTGATGTTGTTTCTTAATTCAACATTCAACATTGTAAAGCTGTTTTAGAAGTTGTCATTCCATCTTCTGTGTGGTCTTCTTCTTTCTCCCTGTTTATTATTTTTCTTCAGAGTAACTTTCTGTGGTAGTCAGTACCAAGGCATTTTCGTCAGACAGCCAGACTAGTAAACTATTTTATCTGTTGCTCTTTCGTGAATGTTATGACGGGTTTCAGTCCTAGTTTTATTTTAATTTTTTCTTCATCCTCCAAATTTTCTTTTTTAAACTGCACTGTCCAGAAAGTTGTAGCACATCTCAACTGAACTTATGTGGTGAAGTGAAAGAGGATGAAAAAAATACTTGCCCCCTCTTTTGGAAATGCAAATAATAAGTAAACACAATTTATGCCATGTCCACTAGTTAATTATTGTTAATTATTGTTCACAGAATCTGTTGCAGCATCACCTACCATCATCTCAAGTTCATCAGCGCCATTACCATCATTAGCAGCAAAAATGTCACCGACGTCACTAGCATCAAACTCAGCATCAGGATCTCTAGTCCTGGACCTGGAGGCGGTGGAGGCAGCCATGGCATGTCAGTACACACTAGAGCAAATACATCATGCCATCAAGAATTTCTTTGCATCATCTTGTGAGTCTCTAACACAGAAGATGCTAGCTGTAGCTAAATGAGCACAAAGACTTAGCAGTTTAATTTTTAAATAATGAAACTTGGCAAAGCTAACTGGGGTGAAAATGCCTGAAGTCATTCATCAGCTGTGTCAGCCGAAAGGGGAAAATATCGCAGCCATGCTGTGAATGTGCACAGCTTACATCTTGGGATGAACAAAGAAGAAGAAGAATGTTATGAACTAAACACTGCCTCTCTGTGTCTGATCAATCTTAAGTGTTAATACTCTTCTTCTTCTTTTTTGCCTTCAATGCCTGGAAAGTTCTGGTTGTTCGTCCACTTCTGGACTTTTGACTTGTTCCAGAACTTGACTTTGCTCACACATCCATTCTAGAGATCTGAGACAGACACGCTGACTTCAAAAAACAAGTATCTAGTTAGTTACCTTTTACACCATTCTGATTATGGGACAGTGGGTCTGTTTTTTTCCCCACCAAAGTGGGGCCCTTGCACCCACACAGATATTTAATATTTTTACACTGCTAATAGTTTTTAGCAGACTATGCATAATTGACATTACAGTAGAAACAGTGTTGTCCCTTCTGGGGCCCCCACCTTAAGGTTTAACATACCATCCTGAGATTAAAGACTGGATGGTAAACCAACATGGTAAATCCCACATACCTTGCTCAATCTCCAAAGAAGTCATAATTAGGGCACCCATATCAGCTACACAAGCCAGGTGTAACCTGCATCTGCATGGGGGGTAATAACTGCTATCAAATTTAATTTTCCAAAGCTTTATGTCAGGGCTATTCAGCCAAGTTTACAGCGGAGCCAAAATGTTGGGGATCATTAGGGCCAGAGGCCCTAGTTCCAGCATAGAAAGATCATTGTATCAGTACAACTGGCAATGATCCACAGGCCCTTCACTGGACCCTTTGTGGATCAGATTTGGCCTTCAGACTAACAGTTGAAAAGCTTTGCTTTATATCCTTGCCACATAATTTGTAAAAAAAAAAAAAAAAAAGGTAAATAGTTACTAAATATGCAAATCATGTAACATATTTTTGTTAAAACCAGCGTAATTAATATGTAGTCAGTTACATTATTTAGAGACACTTGAATGTAAACTGTATAATTAAAGAACTTAAAAATCAAATAATATTTACAAAATTGAAAATTTTTACTCTGGGAAGGCTAACCTAGGCAACAAAGGTCTGTAGATGTTGGTTGTGTCGGCCGAAAGGCGCAAATATCACAACCATGTTGTTAACGGGCACAGCACATTTAATTCCTCGGATAAATGCAGAAAAAAAAAATTTGGACCAGTCTTTTTTGACAGATTATAAAAGGAGGAAAAACATATTTACTAAAAAAACGTATAACATTTAAAACATGGCTGTTTTAATTCAAAAGTGACAAAAAAAGTCATATAATTTAAAAATGTATTTTTTAATTATTAAAGTTTATATACTCTGTGGTGGACTCATCTGTATTTTTGACATCTGTTTTGCCAAAGCATAGGCAGTCAGTTTTTTTTTGGGGGGGGGGGGGGGGGGGGGGGGGGGGGGGTTAGATATTTGTTATGAGAAAGAATGGAATTGATAACTGGCAGGATTAATGGAAGAGGAGCAATTAGAAGACAGGGAGATAAATACCTAGATCCCCCCCTGTGGGTTCTGGGGCCCTATTATAGGGAAAAACAAGAATAGACCCACTGCCTACCTAAAAGCATGTCGTAAGAGTCGACTAATTGGGAGCTTCCTTCGATGTCGGAGTGTATCTGCCTGAGAGGCAAGGAACCAATGATCCGCACACATATGTGTCAGATCTGTCAAACGAATACACAAGCAACACTCAGGTTCTGGATCAGGACTGCAGTTCAGATGTGGACGAACAACCAGAACTTTCCACCAGAGTTTGAAGCTGGTGAATGCCTTGATGACTTGGCTGTAGTTATGGAGTAAGAAGAATACTGACATGATCATTGATTCTGGCGACTGTGGACAAGAGAAACCAAGTCTACATCCAAGTAAATCAGAACTGTAAAATGGATGTGAACACAAAAATCCAGTTCTGGAAAACAAGACTAATGTCCAGAAGTGGACAAACAACCAAAACTGTCTGCTTGAGTTTACAGTTAGTGAACACGAACAAGAATAAGAAGAAATGGGTGCCAGATAATTCACAACCTATAGCATGTGAAGGTCTAACATAATTTTTTATGAGGCTCGGCTGAGCCAGTATCTTGCAAGTTATTGAACCCAGACCTCAGTCTTGGCAGCAGACACACTAACCACTACACCACTGCATCTTCCTGCAGAGGATTACTATTGCCTTATCACTTTTGCATTGAAGGTGCCATGTGTTATTAGTATTAGTACTTTGTAAATTATTTTTTTTAAAAAGCTCACCCCAGAGTTCATGTGAGAGTCCTATATTCTAGGGGTGTTATGGGTTGGGGTTAGAGTTTGGGTTAGGATCTTTGTCAACGCTGACCACCTGAAACACCAACTAGCCCTACCTCTAACCTTAACTCTACCCTATCCCCTAACCCCTAATCCTAATCCCAACCTATAACACCCCTACAATATTGGACTTTCCCGGGAACTTCCTTCATGTGGCTTGAATAAAGAATCAGGTACCTTATTGTCATATTTTAAAACTGTTTACATTTTTAGTCACTTAATAAACTAAAGTGAAATAGTACTGTCACATGTTAATATAGGTTGAGGTTCTATTCTCTGTTATAATAGCTTGAGATCCAATTCTCTTAATATAGGTTGAGATTTATAATCTATTTCAAGCCAGACTGTTTCTGGTATCTCAATCTTTTACCAGTTCTCCTGCCTCATTCATTTTAACACCCCCCTCCCCTACCCAGTTTTTTTAAAGTTATGTGTAGTAGAACATAAAAAAAATAATGCAGTTTTGATCTGTGAGTTGCAATAGAGCGATGGTTAGCATGCTTGCCTATTGGCTCGATGGTTAGAGGTTCAAATCCTCATTGAGGTGAATTTTGTTAAAAGACCTGGCAGTCCAGTCTAAAGTGATATAGCCTTAGATGTAAAAGGGGTTGGTGTATAAAAATATAGGGTGAGCACCATATGCCCAGTGGGATACTGAGTAGAGTAGGTTATTGCTAGAAAACTTGCTTGCCAGCCCAACGGTCTTGGCTTCAGATCTGCATATCGGATTCTTTTCTTCAAAATTGACATTGTCTCTATGGTTGACCAAGCCTAAAATGGGTACCAGGTAATGTCGTGGGGGGGGGGGAGGGAGGTCGACACTATGATGTGGACTGCATCAAACACCAAGTGCTGATTATTCTGTAAAGATATGAATAGCAACATGTACCCTGTAAGCTACTGATGTAGAAATATTCCTGTGGAAATGGAGCTCTAAGTTTTACTTCACTTACATGTTTAACTCTGCCAGCCCCAACCAGCATGCCATGTGTGATCAGTTATTTCCCATTTGTACCAAGCAACCAACAATGTGACCTGGTGTTTAACCTAAGCACACTACAAAAGCCTGGCTAGTTATTTTAATGCCACAACTGTTTAAGTATATATACATCTGTGTCACTCGGGAAATGATATTTTATATTTGCTGTGACTATTACTACCCTTTTCTGGTACTTTATGTGGATTGTTATGAAGGTTTGCCACATTAAAAAAACTAGTATAATGATGTTAATTTTTTTTACCAGTTTGCAATGTCATTTTTGTCCTGTTTTTGAAAATTAGGTCGATACCCAAACACATCACTTTTGTTGGGAACACTTAAGGCAGCAGATGAAAATTATGAGCGTCTTTGTGAAAAGAGCCAAGAAGTTCTGGAAAAGGAAGCACTGTATCAAGAAAAAGCAGCTCAGTTCCAGATCAAAGAGGCCCAGCACGAAGCGGAAAAGGCAGCATATCGGCAGGAGATCCGAGCCAAAGACAGAGAACTTCAGCGCACCACATTTGAACTGGAGTGGCGGGACTTGGTGAGGACAGATTTAGAGCAGCAATTTATTGAACAGATACAAGAGCTTAAGGAAGTGAGTGTTCTATGACTCATATAATTCTGTCCAGTAAAGTCAGATAAGGTCTTTCAGCTTGTTGTACGCATCTTCCTTTTGTTTTGATCTCTTGAATTTCATTGTTGCTGAGCATTTTGTGTTTATGCTGAATACTTTTAACTTTTAGTTCTAGGTATATCTTTCCCTTCTGCCTTTTATCCCCCACTGGAGCATAAACCCACAACCAACTTGTGTCGACCTCCTGTAATTTGCTTTCACCTGCAGCTCACCCCATGTCCTCCCTATCCTTTTAGCCTCAATTTTGAATTCTCTTTTGCATGTTTTTTGGGTCTGCCTATTTTACTTTGATCCTGTGGTTTCTCATGTAAAGACAGTTTAATTATTGTTATAGATCTTTTCAGTTTGTGTTCTGTCCCACACCATCATATTTTCTTCAACTCTTAATTCACCAGAATTTGTATGTATCTTGTATAGTATATGTATTTCATACGAATGTATATATATTCAGAAGTTATCTGAGCATTTATTGCCTTATCATGTGCCATGCTGAGTTTCACTGGCTATCATTTTTCTTTGTAAATGTCAGTTTTTTGTTGTCATAAGTTTGATCTCTGTTCATCCATGCTGATCTGGAATTGTGTTGAGTTAGGAACCAACATTGCAGAATTCAGACATTTCCATAAGCACTCTGCCTCCCATCTTCAGCTGCCAGCAAAGTGTTCTAACTCCATTGGCACCAGTATCAGTACGGTTGTGTCTTTTTTTTTCTTTTTTTTCTGAGTGTTGAGTGTCAGCCAGATTCCTTGGTCAATCCCTGCTGCTGCGCTGTTCTTCCCAGATTATAAGGATCTATTCGCTCATTCCAGTCCAGTCTGTCAAACCACACAAATTCTGTCACTTTGTTAACTTTGTCTCTGGCACCTATAATTTTTTGTTTTTAGTTGTCACAGTCTTCTCCAGATATTTTCATCTCGTAACATGACCAGAAGTGATCATTGCCCTTTCCTGAAGTGGGTAGTAAATGTCTTTTAAGCTTGGCCTCTTGCAGTACTTGAATAGTGGTCTTCATAGCGGTCAGTGTGTGTCTTCTTCTTCTTTGCGTTCACTGGCTGTAAACTCCAGCAAAAAGTTCTGGTTGTTTGCCCACCTCTGGACTTTATTCTTGTTTCAGAACCTGAGTTTTGCATGCACATCTTATTTAAAGAGCTGCTCATTTGCACACACTGTTGGTTCCTTATCTCTCAGGAAGATGCACTCCGATTTCAAAGGAAGCTCCCAGTTAGTTTCCTCTTTCGAAATGCTATTGTGTAGGGAGTGGAGCTATTCTTGTTTTCTCCACAGTGGGGCCCCAGAATGCGCGCAGAATCAACATATCTGTGACCTTCAGTACTGTCAACTCCTTTTTTATTGTTACGTGGTTCACAGACATACAGTAGTTAAGGTGATGTATCTTCTTTTTGTCAGTATCTGCTTTGTTCTGCTAAATACTGCAGTTCAGCAGTTAATCGATAGCTGAGCCAAGATGCACGCAGTTGCTTGGTATGCTGTGATGTTGGGAAGTCTTAAGTTATCAGTTACTCTTTCAGTCCATATTCTTCTAGGTCTCCCTCTGCTTCTTGATGTTTCCAAAACCATGTTGTGTGCTGTCATCGCTGATGTTTTTGGGTTCATCCTCCTCAGCTGGCCAAACCATTTCAGTCTTGGTTTCTCAAAGAATTTTATAACAGGTGTTGTTCTAGTAGATCTTCTAATCTCTTTATCTCTCACATCATCTTTTTTGGTTTTTGTTCACAGCCTTTCTCAAACATCTCATTTTCTGGGTGGTTAATTTTCTTTCATTCATTCCATAAGGGTAGTGTTTAGCATCCTAAAACTTGTTTCCTGATCAGCTGCATAGTAGGTCTTGGGTCAGTTTAACCTGTCTTGGAATACTTGTTTAAGTTGCATATTCAATAGCCTAGTTTATATCAGTGCATTGGCAATAATATTGAAAGTTGCTTGTCTTCTCTCCTTTTTATAATTTTTTATTAGGGCTCAGAAATAATGTGGATCATTATGTTTAGTAACAGAGTACCTAAGTAATTATTTTGCATCTATTAGCACTAGTTGAATATGTATTTTAATATATGCATAGTTTTTTGCGAGCAGCTGGCCGAACAGTTTAGAAGGCTGAGCCATCATGCAGGAAACCCAGGTTCGTTTCCTGTTGGTTTTTTCTTCCAGTGACAAACATAGAATCCTACCCTGCACAGTACATGGCAGCTGCACGAGCTATACTACCAAAACCCCCACCTAAACTACAAAAGTGGCAAATACAGGAGGTATTGTCAGTTCTGTGAGATGAGATTTTCTGAGAAATGCAGCAGGAAAAACAAGAAGAAAAATATTCACCAATGAAGCGCTAAGAGCAATAGTAAGCACAGTACCGGTGAATGATTTCATATGCCCGGCTCTCTAGCGAAGTTGGTTAAACCTGACTTTCGCGGCGGCCGGGTGACGAACTCCTTGTGGTCCGGGTTCACTCCCGGGGGTAGGCAGAAAAGCCATTTTCTCCCATATTAACGGTACCTATAATGGAATCAATGCCGAAGGGTTGCGATATCCATAGTACCGAGCCAAAGGGTTTTACAACTCAAGGTTTCTGGATACATAAAAAAAAAAAAAATAGTTTCATAGAACATCAAAGAATCAAATGGTGTAGCCATCTGGTTAGAATGGAACAAAATCAGCCAGCATCTAGAACATACTACATAAGAACAGCAGACTACAAGGCAAAAGGCCGACCAAGAAAGAGATGCTGGAGGCAGTAAAAGAGACAATACAGAACCGCAGTATGACATTAATACAAGCTGTGCAACTTACAAAAGACAGGAAACTTCATTTAACTTTTCTCTGTGACGCTTTGCGGCATAAGCATTAGGACAGAAGAAGAAGAATGTCATTTTTATAGTCTTTAAGAATTGATTACTTAAACTAATAAATATGTAGGGCTTTAGTAGTTAAAATAATAACAACTTGAGACAAAAGAACTTCAGTAACTATTGGTACAGAGTGGGTTAGTGTAACATCAAAGTGGGATTTACCAAAAGAGTTAATTCGTCCTGTTCTATAAAATAGCCAGCCCAAAACCCTACCCTTAGTGGCCTCTTACAATATGCCTGGTAGGGTACAGTGTTAATGCATTGAGCATTGATTTGCTGATAATGAAATACACCAGGGGAGGAAATGTTACCAACTTAGGCTTGATTGCCATTGGTCCATATTTACCATGCTACATCATGACTTGGCTACATTTTAAAAGGATGTTCCAGTATCAGTCTTGTACACACTGCTGGTCTCAAAGCTTCGAGAGGGGCAGGGCAGCTCTGCAACTGTTTTTTTTTTCTGAGGAGTTGGTACATTTGTACTGGGTCACAATTAAAAGTCTCTAGACCACTCACTTCAATAGATACCGGTCCTTTTTAGGATTCAGTTGATTTAAGTACCAGTGTGCATAATAAATGTCACAGTAAATGGTCTGAGTTCAAGAAAAATTAAGAAATTAGAGAATTGCCTGGACAACCACTGGTATCATAGACACAAACAATGAAGACTGCAATATTGGCACATCCTAAGAAGAACCAAACAGAAAATCACCAAAATATATTGAAATGGGAAACAGATGAATTGAGGAAATGAGGACCTCCGAGAGAAAACTGAAAACAGTGATCAAAGAGGGCAAAAATGCTGGACTGGTATCATCCATAATATTCAAAACATGGCACTGTATAGAAAGGAGTGGGTCGAAAGGCACAGATATCACAGCTGTGCTGTAAACAGGCACAACAATGCAATTACAGCACTCAGGTAAACAAGAAGATGATGCAGAGATTGGAAAATAGACTGCGAGACCTATGGCTTGGTATGGTTTGCTTTTTTCACAGGTCCCATTAACATAATGATCAAACTATCCTAATCCATTGGCTTTCATGATGTTGATAATAGAGGCATATTTATATATTTGCATTTTTTGTTTATATATATATATATCATCAACAAGTACCATGCCAATTAGTGTATGCATTCACTCTTTTCCACATCTTGTCATCTCCAGTGGCAGGTATCAGTTCATGTGCGCACACCCTTCCATGAAATGACAAAAGGCTGTCAACAACCTTTTCCCATTGTCTGCCTCTATCTTACTTTCTATAAATCCATCCAGTTCTTAAAATTGGACCAAAAGGATGTCTGATTCTTTCTGATATTTATAATAATTTGTTTTTGTGCATCTTAGTCTCTTTCAATTGACATTTTTATATAATGTGTAATTTTGTTTTGTTTTGTCTCTGTTGGAAATGGAACAGCTGCCCCATTCCACTGAGTTCACGTATGTGATTCACTGAACATTATATTTACAGTTGTTACAGCAGCAGAGGGAGCAGTTAGAACAGAAAGATCAGGTTATAGAGTACAACGCAGTTCAGTCTGAGGACCTCCAGAGACATATTAAATCTCTCAGAGCGGAGCTGGACCGGAGGCAGATGTCTCCTGCCAGTGGTGAGTGTTTAGAACTTTATTTCAGTAAGCAGCAACAAAATTCATAATCTTTTTAAATCACCATTGATCACTGGCGTCATGAGAGCTAATAGACTGAAATGGCTGGGGCATATTGAAAGAATGTCAGATGACAGATACATATACAAGGTCCAACAATTAAGTAATGAGACTAATTCCATAAAAATTAAAATAATTTGGGCATTGGTACAGCAAGTGGCATGATCTAACAAACACTGGAACGACCTTTGTAGTTCTTCTGCTGTTATGGCCCTTAAAGTTGATGTTAGGGTCCTTTAAATGTCTTCAATATCGTTAAAGAAGCGTTCTTTCAATCGTAACTTTAATTTTTGGAATATAAAATAATCACAGGGAGACAAATCTTGGGAGTAGGGTGAAAGGCTGAAAACACACACTTGTTTTTGGGGCTGAAAATTCCTGTTTTGATGATGTCTCTTGGGTATTCAACCCGCTGATATTTTTAATCATCAGACAAAAAATGTGGTACAAACTGGCAAGCAACTTTTTTCTTGCAAAAATCTTGCACTAAAATGTGAATAATCTCACTATTAACACCAGATTCATCTGCCATCATCCTTACAGTAAAATAATGATCTTCTTGTATCCGTTCTCTGACTTTTGCAATGAGTTCATCATTACGAACAGAAATTTGACATCCAGGCCTAGGTGCATTAGTAATAATTTCCACAACACTTTTGAATCGTGATTACCACCTAAAAATTTGTGCACCAGATAAACAACTATCCCCATAAACTTGTTTCATCAATTCAACTGTTTCAATGGCGCCTTTTTTTTTAGTTTAAAAAAATGTAATGTTAGCTTTTTGCTCCGTGCTGATTACATAACAATGCACTTCTGACTAGGTCAACAAAATGGCGGCTTGTTTGTTGTCTAGTTATCGAATGGCAATGAAAATTTGCCAGATCATAGATGAATGGTACCACTTTAGATTCCAAGCTTTGCTTCCTAGATGGCCTTTTCTCTTTGCCATAATAAAATCAGTCTCATTACTTAATTGTCAGACCTTGTGTGTAGATAGGCCTGCATGCCCAATTTGTGACCCTTTGAAAATAAAATTTGTTTCATTTGTTTGGTCCAGGTAGTCATTAGTTTGAATCCTCGTTATGATGAATTCTAAGAACTGACTTGGGTATTTAGCCGGACCCAACATTTAATGGTTACCAGGAAATGTACTGCAAAATTGAAGGAAGTAAATAGTCAGTTTTCCTTTGTGGATTCAGGGGCTTCCCCTAAATAAGCATGTTGTAGGAGGTGCCTATAGGAGGTGTCTACTTATTGGTGTTTGAAGTTGCAGCACGGCTGCCTGAGAGGCGAGAAACCATCAGTCACAAGTGAACCAGATCAGTAAACAGAAGAAGAAGAAGACTAATGTTTTGGGAGAAAACTTAACAAATTCCAATGAATCAAGAGCTGTGGACAGGACACACAATGAGAGAACCTGATAACAGTATCACCAGAGTATCCTTGCAGATATATAATCTGTGCATAAGTTTTCCTTTATATGGATTTCAAAAAATAGTTAATTCACATTAATTTTGTGTGTGTTTTTTTTAAAAATCAATAGATGACGAGGAATCGGCATCTTCATCTTCGGATCAGGAACACACCAGCTGTGAGCCAGATTCCCACTTAGACGAAATACCAGTGGCAAACTGCAAAGTGTGTCTGGTCAAACCATCCCAGATTTTGTTTCTGCCATGCAAGCATCTATGTTGCTGTGATCATTGCGCTTCTCGTCTTCATGGAAAGAACTGTCCCATTTGTAGGGAACGCAATCTGGGTTTTGAGAAAGTTTATGTGATTTAACAGCAGCTGTTTTGCAAAAATATGTCTTGTGTTCAAGCTAAAGGGAAATAATGTCAGGTCATACAGTACAGCAGGGCTGTTCTGCTGGAGGCCTGGGGGCTGAATTAGGCCTGTAGAGGCCTAGCAAGCGGCCTGCAGATCTGGCCCGTGATGAACCCTATCTTCATCAGTAAGTTCCCCTGATGAAACTATTGAATAACACTGCATTGCAGTCTTCGTACAGTTTCACATCATTAGAAGCTAGTGGTTTTCAAGCTTTCTGGGGTCACTACCCGACTGCCTTCAAGTCCTTTTCCATATTTAACTTGTCAGTTCAGACATATACAGGTATAGTTTTCTTTTGTTATTGAAAATATAACAAATTAATGGTCATATTTGAAAGTATTAGATACAATGGGCATATGATGCTGAATCCATATTTTTATAGAAAAGTTGGCACTTGGGATGGGGGTAATGTGGTCAGAATAATGCTGGTTGCAGTTACTCTCTTTCGCTCTAATCATGCAGTCTGCTCTGACACATTGACAGATACTTCAACGCAGCAAGCTTCAACAGGAACAAACGTTGAGAAACACCCGACAGTTGATAAAGGTTCAGTTTATTTTCCAACGATGTCCTCCTAGTCAAACCGTGTGCCAGTGGTGTATCGTCTAGGGACCTAGCTGTGTTTATAAGCATCTACTTACTTACATTAACACTGTCAGTACATCTCATGCTTGAGCTTCACTGGTACCAAATCAGCATTTACAAACTGCACAGCACTGCTGACATTCTCACCTTCATTCCGTTTTGTCATGGATTGATTAGCCAGGTTTCTTCAGGCTAGTAGCTTGAATACATTTACTCGTTCTTCTCAGGATACGTTCAGCTTAGGTACTCCAACCACCACAAAACCAGTATATACAGATGTCGTCTATCTAAGGAGGACTGCCTTGCATGGTTCTCTATCATTCCATGATATTCTGTGCATTCTTTTCAAAAACCACATCTCCACTGCTAGTAGATGTTTTTCTGTGCAGAGTAAGGTTACTGTTTGTGTGAGCAGTAATCCGGAGGAAAAACTGCTAGCCAGAAATTGTTGTGAAATTTATGTTTCTCAGCAGCCCTGTAATTTTTGCATGGAGATGTTGCTGTTTTTATATAAATGTCTTTCAGATATTTGTTTTTAGTGCTGAGAAAAATACTGATGTTCAAAATATAGTCAAAGGCTGTGAATAATTGCAACATGAATGTGTGTATGTATGTATGTACAGATATGAATAACTGCACATAGTTTGCAATTTTTAAATAATTTTATTGTAATTTTAGCAAATGTGACATGTTTGTTTTGGTCAGTTATTGTATGCATATTTGATGAATTTAATTTTTATTGTTTGTTTTAGAATTCATGATGCCTACCCTCATTGATAACAAAATCTAGAATTTTATAAACTCAGTCTTTGCGTTTGCTTTATTATTTCCATATTTTCCTAAATTTTACAAGATACTGTGTAATCTAGTTTTATTTTGGTATGTAGTGCCAGATTAAGACCAGTGAGTTGTTTCAAAATTGAACACAAATCTATAATAAGTGGGTGTCCTACCAAATACAAAAGAAATGTGTTGATAATATTATTTAATAATAACTATTACTAACTGCCGGTTCCAGGCTAACAGGCTGACCTTAAATCATTATATTTTGAGACTTAGGAATTACTTACTTACTTACTTAGTCGCACCTTTTCTACTTCGGGGTGTAAAGGTTTGCCAGAGAGATCGCCAGACGTCTCTATCAGCAGTTTTAACTTAGGAATTGATTACATTAACTAATAAATATTTGGGGTTTTAGTAGTTAAAATAATAATGAACTTGAGACAAAGGAACTTAAGTAACTGTTAGTGCAGAGTGGGTTAGTGTAACATCAGGATGGGATGTACCAAAAGAGTTAATGCGTACTTTTCTATAGAATAGCCAGCCCAAAACCCCACCCTTCATGACCTCTTACAATATGCCTGGTAGGGTACAGTATTACTGTTCTTTACTTCATGTGAGGGCCCCGGCAGAACACGGGTGCAACATTAATCTACGGGTTAAGAAAAAATAACTGGTAGAATGGGGGAAAAAAACTGACTTAAGGAATTAGTTGAGATGAGCTGAGTTAAAAAGAACATCATGTCCCTTGGGACATTACCATTAGCACTCTGCCTCCATCTTCAACAGCTGGTGCAGAATTCCAGACTGGTGGTAGTCTGATTAAATGTCTGTCTTGACTTTCCTCTGAGTGTTGAGTTTTAGCCACATCACCTTGTCCCTTCCTACTGCACCATTCTCTTCAGTCTTATCATCTGTTCTTTCTGCATTTTTCACTTTCTTCCAAAGAACATAGACCTCATCTGCCTTGTCATGCATTTCAAATATATCTGCTTGTACATTTCCCAAAACACCTTGGGAAAAAACACAAAAATCCAATGCCCTGGAAAATAATACCTATCAGTGACCTCTGAACATGCTTATCACTACATGAAGCAATACATTTGTGATTTTGATCAACATTTCAAGCCAGGTAATGAGCAATAAAGAGGACCAAGTAGATGACTGGTTTGCTGAATCTGTAGAATAGTTCATATCTGAAGACATTCTGAGAAAAGGCAGAGCAAATATGACAAAGGTCATGGGCTTGTTGACAAAGATAATTATAGTAACCTAACAGTACTATAAAACATCTGGTACTGAATCGCAAGCACTCACAACCACAACAGAAGTCATTATTTCTACTTTTTCTTCTTTTATTTCTCAGATTTCGATTTTAATTTCCCTGGGCATTTCGCTGTTGTTATGAATATTTTAACACCTGCTAGCACATATTTTTTGTGTGCAACTGGAAATTACTGAGAGTAAAAAATGGGATGTGAGTGTGGTTTAAAAATTGCACTGGTATTTATATATGGTCGGTTGCAATTTTAAACAATTTAGTTTGATTAATTTGATCTCTTTTAATCAAATAAAGTTATAGTCTTTCCTCTACTCTTAATCCCAGGATAGTGAATTTATTGTTTAGACTTTTCAGATGTGTGCGAAGAAAAACATTCACTTGTGTGCATTATGTATGTCAAGTATCCCTCAGCAGATTTGTATTGTTAAGTGGGCAAGTAGGATATAAATGGTGCAGATATTGATGTGGATTCATGAAAACAGGATGCCTTGGACCGTACTTTTGGAGGGGAAAAATCAAGAAGGGAATAGACAAAAGGAGAAAATAATTGCAGTTAGGTTAGGAGCTAAGTATATGAAAGGAAATATGTTAAATATATAATATTGCAGCAGGAGCTTGAAATCCTATGCTCTAAGTGCGGAGACTGTTTTACTTGAGTTGGTCTTGCTAGTCACACTCACCATTACCGCAGGGGGTGGGAGTATTTTCATACCTCCCTATGGCACAGTATGAAACTACTGTCCATAAAGAGGAAAAGGTGCCAACATCAGGCAGGATTTGGCTAATATGTAAGTAAAGGATCCTTTACGCATCAATAATGCAGTGGGTATGCTATGCCAGATTCATATTTTTGTAGCTCAGTTGGCAAAAAAGTCCGATCGGCACTCTGTCAACACCACCCTGGTAATCGGCTAGTGCCCTGACATAAATTCAGATATAAGAAATGCTCCACCAGTACAACACTTATAACATGCAATTTGCTAATGTGGATACATGGAATGAAAACAATTAATTTTCTATTAATAAGTTCGGGAAGGCTAATCCGGGCATCAAATACCTGCAGAAGTCGGATGTGTCTGCTGAAAGGCATAAATATCGCAGCCATCTTAAAACGGGCACAATGCATTTACCTTTTCTGATGAATGCAGAAGAAGAAGATTTCCAACTAAGTTTATACAGAAGTGGAATTTTTAAGAATCTTTGTATCAGTCTTCAAGTAAATAGCCTGACATGATCTGAGTTTAATTATTTTGAGATTAACCTTACTTAGTACCTAAGTCCCATTCATAGAATATGAGACAGCACTTGCAGGTGCATCAGGTTTTATGTTGCAGTTATTAACAGTATCAATCTGTTAATTAGGTGCCATCTCCATAGTAAAGGATGGCTGTAATATATCTGTAACACACCCTGACCCTTGTTTTGGTAGTGTACTTTCTCAGACTACCATTCTTCAAACTCTTGATATTGTCCTTCCACTTGTATTAACAGAAAATCAATGTAGAAATAGATGACCCAAATCGTTTGTAGTGGCAGCACTGCAGATCATCAGTGGAAAGGGGGGGAAGAGAAAAAAGAAAACCTACTATCTTTGCCTTAAACAGGTTGATGACACGCGTTATGGTTCCCACAAGGCTGCAATATTGCACCTTTCCATCCTAGATATCTGATTTAATCAAACTCCTATTATTCACCTTATATATCTTTGTGCAGTGGGTCTATTCCTCCTCCCCCAAATGGGGCCCCAGAACCTGCATGGAGGGAAAAAGAGGTCACAAATATGGCTGCTATATGATAGCAGAATTTTTGTTCAGCTAAGGCTTGTGGAATCTGAATGGAGTTCTCGAATTTGGTTTCTCAGTCAGGCAGTCAATCATACCTGGACTCCATAGTGAAGGTTGGGTACATTAGATCTATTCTGTCCCTATTTTTAACATTTCCGTTTTTATCTGAGCTTGCTGGTTGCTTATAATTCTGTTGTTTTGTTCTATTGAATCAGACAGGTCCCAGACTTTCACTTACATTTGAACTTATCTTTTCCATTTCTCTTTATTGAGCCCTACAAATCAGTTTGTCTTGTGTTCAGTTATTTCTTGCAACTGTAGAAAGAGACCTAGCTCTGTGGGTTAACTATTTTAATCTTGGGGTGGGGGAGGGGGGTGGTCTCACAGCATAGTCCGAGGGAATGAATAACCACAATGAAAAGTCATGAGCGCACAACTTTGAAACAGACAAGTGGAAGTAGCAGCAGAGAAGCCAGATTTCTTTAGCATGCTCTGACTAACAGTGAAATGGGGGTAAACATTTT